TCCCAGTCCACCAAGTCCACCAAGGTTATCCCCAAACCCAAATCTGGGGGCGGCCAGATTATTGCTCTCTTTTCTTTTCAACTTCTCTTCTTCTCTTCTTCTCTTCTTCTCCTTCTCTCTTCCTTCTCTCTTCAAGAAACTACTTTCTTTCATATTTTTTTAATTCAGCAGATTCCTACTATTACAAATTCTGAATCTCTGTCCATTCTCTTACTGTACTTACTATAATGGGTTTCTACCCTCACACCATTAATACAAATATACTTTACTTTTTACTCAAAAAAAAAAAAAAACTGTCCTAAATCCAATAGCAATGCTTGTTGAACAATTCAACTTATTGATGGTCCTGCCTACAAGGATATGCCCCAAAACCACACAGGCATTCCTAACCATCCAATATATTGACTTCTTGGAGGTTCACTTTATCCCTTGACTACATATGCTCTTGGGTAGGTGGTTGAGTTGTGTGTATTATGTTGTAAGCAATCCATCCAATGGGCTAATACCTCAGGTTGTATTCTGAGAAAATTTGGAAGATACAAGATGAAAGCGGCCATAATATGCCCAATCTTTTTGATTTTGTTCCAGATATGGCATTGGGTGGTTTACTACATTCTTACAATTCCCTGCATTGTGCAAGTGTAAATTTCAACTGATTGCATTTCTTCTTTCCATTTTGGGTTGACTTAGTTCCAATGAAAAGATGATAGCTTGTAAGGTTACATTTTTTTGATGAATGGCTTGTAAGGTTACATTCACGAATTAACTACTCTTGTTCAATAGATGCCAGGTGGGGAGAGTTTTTTCATCTGCACCAATCATCAAAAGATATGATATATTTACACTTGAGACAGCTGATGGGATCAATGTTATGATTAAGGGCTTCATAAATAGATCTCGCACACATCAACATGGTTTCCCTGATGAGGTCCATTAGTTATTTATTTTTACTGTGTGTGTGGGTGCGTGCATGCACACTTATAGATTGGAGATTGCTACCATTTTAACTTACGGCTACATTGAAATGTTCATGTGCCAAGTTCAGAGTGGCAATGGTGCCATTAATATTTTCTGTTTTTGTAAGTTAAATATTAGAACTAATACTCATTCTAAGCAGGTCTGTAATCATTTCCTCATTGGATTTCCTTATGATTGGGAGGCTTATGCTGGTGAATATTTTGGCAATGAATCCAATATTGGAGGCATCCCTTCAGGTATCTCAAGTTTCAAAATTTTAATGAGTTAAACCATGTTTTCTGGAAATAATGCAAATTATGTTTCAGCAATCTGTGTAGATGATTTACCAGTTATTAGAATATTAGAATTTATGCTCTTCTAATTTCCAGTGCAATTTTAAGGAGTCTGTGCTGAGACAAAATATTTGCCTCTAATGTGCTAGGAGAATGCAGTGTGAATGTTGAAGCACCTGCATGTCCGAACATGAAGAGTTCCAGTTCATCCAATTGGCTTGCAACCTTTTCAGAGGAAACTCCAAATAAAAATAAGAAGGCCAAGAGTAAACAAGAAGAGTGCCGAAATAAGCAGTTGAATGGAAATTTTAACAATGATACTGGTCCATCTAGTGACAAAGTGGATGGTGTTAATGGAATCCCAGGTCAATCTGAATCCAGGAGATCATGTTATAGGGCTAGGAGCTTAAAGATCAAATTTAAAGAGGGTCAAACAACAAACAGTAGCCAAGAGGTGTCTGATTTTGTAAAGAGTGTTGTAAATAATATTGACTGCAAATCAGGAGGCAAAAGTGCCTTTGATTGGCCTGATGCTGGACCTCAAGATACTAATAGTGAATCTTTGCTAAAAGATCATGATAGTGGATGTCATAAGCATGTATCTAAGAACTGCCTGTTGTCCTCTACTACTACTGATGCCAGACAAGAACCAACCAATGAAAATTCTATGGGTCATGGTGAAGCAAAGAGTAGCAACCTAAATCAATCCTTCAGGTCTCTGATTGGTAGTGCAGACTGTACAAATGAGTTGAAAAATACAGTTGGAAATGAAAAATGCAATTTTCATGACATAAGCATGTCTGGGAGGAAAACAAAGAGGAAACTGGTATGCAATCTGCATTTGAGCTATGGTCGAAACTTAATTTCAGCATAGTTATCTTTTGTTCCTGACTTGGAATTGTCTGCTGAGGATTTAAATGCCAGTTGTTGCAGTTTACCATTATTCTTGCATTCTGTAAATCCCTATTTTATGATAATAAATTTTTCTTACCCTCTTGCTCCTAAAATGGTCAAACTATGTATTGCCTTGTAAAACATCAACTGGCAGCCATCAATCCATTTGAAGTTGAGAGTATAAACCTATAAATTTTAAAATAGAAATGCCATTTAGCTTGTGCACCATAGTTGTTGTTTACTTAATAAACAGTAAATGTACCCCCTTCATATAAATGTGATTTAGATTTGTCTTGGACCCTATATTTAACCTAAATTATTAACACCATACTGAATTACTAATAGTTGTGATGGAAATTTTGTGGGAATTTTCTGATACCTGATCCTAAGAGGACCCATTTATTTTTTGACTTACATTGTTTTGTTTTGTTCATTTATATAAAAGAATTCTTATATGGAGGAATTCTGTGTAATGTCAAATGTTATGGTTTTATGTTGGTTCTTTTTGTATGTTATTGGTTGATGATGAACTTTGAAGAACTTTTGCATGTAGTTTAATATTGAACCTGAAGTCTCTTTTCTGAAGTATGAATTGAAGCTTTGTTATGTATATTGGATGCTGAGTAGGGGTGGGGTGATCATGAAAAACCGAAAAATCGAAAACAAACCAAAAATCCCGGTTAACCGAACTGATTGGTTTAATTTAGGTTTGGTATTTTTGGAAAACCGGAGGTACTTGTTCGGTTTTGGTTAACCAATATAAAAAACTGGTGGTTAACCAAATTGACCGATATACATATATATTATTTATGTATATTATATATATCTTATATGATCTATATATATATTTTTTATGAATGATAATAAATTTATTAATTCAGAAGCTGATTTAGAGTGAGTTCATACAACATCCCAGGGAGAGGCGTGAGCTGCAGCCCCTCCTTGAATCTTACAAGTAAACTAGGAAAGAAAAGCAAGAATGACAGCTGAGCCCAAAACAATTCTTCCCTATTTACCCCTTGCTTGGCTAACACATCTGACAAAGTATTTGCTGATCTCCTTGCCCACTGTACAGTGATCAACATATTCCTTGTCAACCAACTAAATTTCTTCATTTCATGCTTGTAATGCCACCTAGCCTCTTCAGGATTTTTCAACCAACCCACCACCACTTTGAAATCCCCCTCGATTATTAGGTGTTGTACCCCCAGCTGGTTTGCAAATTGCACCCCTTGTACAACAGCTAATAGTTCTTCCCTGATGGAGTCCCCAATTCCTAAGGGACCTGAGTATAGCAATAAAATCTCTCCCTTCTCATTTCTCAAAGCACCCCCTATTCCGGATAATCCTGGATTACACATGCTACTTCCATCAAAGTTCAACTTCAGTGAGCCTTCGGATGGAGGAGACCAGCTTATAATTGATTTGTCCTTTAGGGATGAACACCTCACTACTGCTGACCAATTTCTCCAAAGGTCATTAAAGGAGAATTGATGAAARATTTCCAAGGTCTTCAGCCAAGGTATTGCCCTACTCAGCACACAGTCTTTCAATTCCTGATTGCTCATTTCCTTATCTTGAAAAATTCTAGCATTCCTTTCTTCCCAAAGAGTCCAAATCAAGGCAGCACGAGCACATCTCCACATAATTCTCCCTATTTTTGTAGGCCAATAAAAGGTAAAATGGTTGAAGAGCATGCGGACTTCTATATATTATAAATGAATATATATGCATTTGTATATAAAAATATATATATATAATATGTAATATATTATAATTTTTATTATATATTTATATATTTATTTATAGTATATGTTGTAAAACTCAAAAAACCGAAAAACCAATGAACCGAACCTGCAGTTAACCGAACCAATCAGCTTTGGTTTGGTTTTGGTTACTGGTTTTCTAAAAACCGGTACTGCTGGTTCAGTTTGGAGAATAGGCCCACAATTTGGTTAACCGAACCGTGAACATCCCTAATGCTGAGCAGTGAGCATTCTTATCTTTTTAATGGTTTTTTGGTACTACCCTAACTGACCTGTTTAAAACCACTTGATTAAATGATAATTGGGTGAGATGGTCATGATGGGTTTGGGGCATTGGGAAGGGAAGTTAAATGGATTTGGGATCATAAGTGCTTAGGTGGGTTTGGAAATGGGAAAGGCAATTTTTGCGGGTTCCCTACCTGTTGCCAATGGACTGGTTTTGGACATAGGTTTGTGTCCTTAAAACAAGAATTTTCACCTATAACTAGGTTGTTTGTTTTAATCCAGCTTAACACCCCTAAGAAAAAGCTCATTTTTTTTCCTGACCAGTAATGAAAGCTTAATTTGACTGCATGAAGAAAAGTATTACTATGTTTGATGAGCAATAGTGAAATTTTATTAATTCAGAAACTGATTTAGATTTTTAATCTCATACAACAGCCCTTGAAGAGATGCGAGCTGCAGCCTCTCCCAACAGAAACCACAGCTGAGCCCAGAACAATTCTTCCCTATTTCCCCCTTGCTTAGCTAACACATCTGACAAAGTATTTGCTGATCTCCCCACCAACTGGATAGAAATTGACATATTCCTTTTTAGCCAATTAAACTTCTTAATTTCGTTCTTATAGCACCACACAACATCCTCGAGGTTCTTCAACCAGCTCACAACCACCTTGCTGAGTAAGACTATTGGATATGTGTTAGATTTTGATTCCCATGTCTGTGTCCATGCAAAACTGGTTTTAGATTTCATCTTATGCCTTTCTCCCCATTCTTTCGTCTTTTTTAATTCACTTCCTTTGGATTACAGCAGCTGTTGGGACCTGTTTCCTGATAGTTTCTAGGTTCAATTTTGCTAGATGTTATCAGGACCATTATTGTTCCTCTCAATTGCAACAGTTTTCTGATCAATCAGAGTGCAGTAAAGAAACCTGAGATGGGACCAGTGGTTCACAACAACATTGGGAACCACAGTGAGAAGAGTCAACTCTTAACCATTGTGACAAGAGGGCTCTAAAGGAACTGTACCCAGGTTTGTATTGCAGTGGCTGATGATAGGGCAGCCACTTCAAATGCATGGAGTTATAGGGGGGAAGGTGGTTTGGACACAAAACCTAGAGGAAACCTGCAAGACTAGGACATCGAAGAGTTCATGGCACTTTTACAGAAACTGGGAGGAAAACATATAGCAGATTAAGGGAGGACAGTAGGGAGTGGAGATGGGAAAAGTCAAGAATATTTTCTGTGAGATCATTCACAAAGCATTTATTGGCAACTAGTCATGACCTTTTTTCCTGCCAAGGAGATTTGGAAATCTCCAATCCCATCAAGAGTGGCTTTTTTGATGTGGATAGCAGCTCTGGATAAATGCCTAACAAGGGGAAAAGCAAGAAGAGGTTTGGAGCTACCATCTTTTGATTGTGTATTATGTAAGAACAAGGTTGAAAGGATGGATCATTTATTTATTCACTGCTCGTTCAGTGCAGAGGTGATCATTTCTTGAAGGTATTCTAAATATTAAACAGTGCTTTCCCAAAACATTAGAGAAGGTTTGTTAAAGCATGGTATGTGAACAGTCTAAGCAAGAGGGGAAGCACCACTGCTATATGCTGGGCTCTATGGATGGAAAGAAATGGCAGATATTTTGTTACAAGGAGTGGACATTGAGGAGGTGACGTAAGAGAGAGATGGCCTCTTATCTACTCATGACTGTCTGTGAAGATTGAAGAATGAGCTGAGGAAATGTGTATATCTCAGAATTTTTCTCATGGGAAATATTTTTTGCTAACTGATGTTTATTGGGATTGGGTGTTTATAGCCTTGTACTGTCACTCACTGTATAGG